ATGCCACCAGCGTGATTTTCATGGCACTGTGTTCATGAGGGAACACTTAGTTTGCAATAATCTTTTAGCTCAAAGCACATACACAATAAAGGGTTTGGTGTTACATTAGAAGGTTGGGTTAAAAATGTGTGTTTAAAAGAAAATGTTAGGGAATACACATTTAAAAATTTATTTTTAGGGCGGAACCAGCAGTTAGTGTAATGGCTATGTCGCTGGACTCCCATGTAGTTGACAGTGGTTCACGTCCTGGACCCGGTGGCTTAAAACTCATGCCAGGTGCATGTGCGTGCGTGTCCAAGATCCCTAGAGGAGAATGGAGGAGAAGGCATTGCAGCATGGTCATCCCCCCTGAAGGGGTGATTTCTCGCTTTCTGTCTCTCTGTCTGTCTGGTGAGCGCATGAGCCCTATAGCAAAAACCTCTCCTCCCAACAAAACAAAACAAAACAAAACAACTTATTTTTAGGACCAGCAGATGGAGTAATGGTCATGTCATGAGACTTCCACATAGTCAACTGTGGTTTGCATTCCAGACCCGGCGATTTAAAACTCATGCCGGGTGCATGTGCATGTGTGTCCAAAATCCTGAGAGGAGAATGAAGGAGAAGGGGTTGCAGTGTGGCTATCAACCCTAGGGAGTGATTTTTCACTTTCTGTCTCTCCGTCTTTCTCTGTCTCTCTGATGAGCACAGGAGCCCTACAGCAAAAATCTCTCTTAAAAAAAGAAAAAAGAAAAAAAACCTCCTTTCTTTAATTGAATTTTAAATTAATTAATCAAACACTATCTCTAGTTGCTTTGACAAAAGTATTTTTACTTTACATAAAGCATAAAACATTTCTCCATACCAGCAATAATAATTAGAAAATTCTTTTTTAAAAAAAATTTATTTAATTTTATTTATTTATTCATTTATTTTAACTTGACCAGAGAGAAGCAGAGAGAGAGAGAAAAAGTGAGAAAGCAAGCCACCAGGTCCAGGACTCAAACCGTGGTCGTCCATGTGGGAGTGTCCAGTGCCTTAGCCACTATGCCACCTGCTGGTCCCCAATAATTAGAAAATTCTAATATCAAAAGCCATGTAAGTAAAATTATAAATAATGTAAATCTCAAAAGAGTAACATATAAAACAAAATAGGGTGACATGTAATACTTAAGACAAATCTAAAACAATTTTAGCAGCTTTTCTGATGAGAAAACAATACATATTTTTAAATTAATTTATATTTTTAATTTATGTTTAATCACTATATATCTTTACAGTGTGCAATATTGCTTTTTGCAGCATAAATATAGTGCATATTAGTCAAGACAAAAGACATTACCTTTCATACGACCCAGTAATCCTGCCCTTAGGTATTTAGCCAAAGGATAGAAAAACCCTTAGTCAGAAAAACACACATCCATGTTTATTACAGCATTATTTACAATTGCTAGAACATGGAATCAGCCCAAATGTCCAAAAATAGATGAGTGGATTGAGAAAACAATATTTAAGAATATTATACATTTTGAAAATAATGCACATATTTGATGTAAATATGCCAAAAAAGTCCAAGACAATTTATATGTGTTTGTGTATTTTTAGGTGTGTGCATGCCTCCCTACAGATGTCAAAATGTGATTTTGAAATTTATTTAGAAGAATGACCAAGTGAGAACAAATAGATGTTCAAAAAAGAACAAAGGGAGAATTTGCACTAAAAATTAAAATGTTGCATAAGTTATAATATGTCATAAATATATAATATATTAAAATTACATCAGAAGTAAAAAATAATAAGTACAGGAATAAGCAGTTCAAGTAAAGTGAAAATATTCATAGCTTGATGTCTTGGATGCCTGACAAAGTGAAGGCAGCACAGCACAGTGGCAAAGAGCATGCTGTCAAGAGATTGCTCTAGTCTAAAGTAATCTTGGACACTTTACATAAAATATCTGCGTCTCAATTTCCTCATCTACAACACAGAGCTAATAAATGCACTTATGCATGATTTATGTTCCACCATTAGAGTAACATTATATTCTGCTTTGAAAAAATTATATGTACTTTTTCCACAGTCCCTCCTCCTCCATTCTCCTCTAGGGACTTTGGGCACACACACACACACACACACACACACACACACACACCACACACACACACACATATACATACACATGCCCAGTGTGTTTTTTAAGCCACCTGTTCTGGGACTGGAACCATGCAGTTGGTCATGTGAGATTCAGCTACCACCATGCCACTGGCTGGTCTAGGAAATTTAATCTTTTTATATTTAGGGTTATTTCAGGTAGATTAGAACTTACTCTGTCATTTAGCTAGGTGGTTTCTGGCTGTTTGTCTATTTTTCTTTCTGTTTTTGTTTTATTATCTACGATGGTGGTTTGGTGATTATCTGTGGTATAAGTCTTGATTCTTTTCTGTTTTTCATTTGTGTATCTAACCTTGTCTCCCAGTATCATGTTGTTGCTGTTGTTTTCATTTTTGATGGCAGTTTTAGTCTGAATGCTTTCAAATGTATAATTCCTTATAGGATTTCTTGAAGGCTGAGTCTAGTGACGGCAAATTACTTTTCCCATTTTTTGTTAAATAGGAAAGACTTCATTTCTCCTTCTATTCTGAAGAATAGGTTTCCTGGGCAGGGCATTTGTTTGCATTTTTGTCTGTCTGTTTTAGGATTTTGAATATGTCATTCCATTTTCTTTGAGTCTGCACAGATTCTGTTGAGAAATCCACTGTTAGCCTGATAGAAATGCAATTATATATAACTTGATGCTTTTCTCTTGGTGCTGCAAGAATTTACTTTTCTTTCTTTCTTTTTTCTTTTGTTTGAATTATAATATGCCTGAGTACCTCTTTAGTTGGAATCTATTTGGAAATCTTTGAGCTTCTTTTATATGAATGTCCGTATCTCTTCTAATACTTGAGAATTTTTCAGCTATTATTTTATTAAATAAGTTTTCTGTTCTGATCTTTGTCTCTTTTTTTGGCACTCTCATGATGCAAATATTTGGTAATGTGATGGAATTCTTAAATCTCATGAGCTATATTTATTCTTTTCATTTGTTTTCTATTTTTTTCATGACTAGATTATCTAAAAAAATTTCTCTCTCTCATATATATTTTGTATTTGTTCAGCGATTCATTGGTTAATTTTGAACACTTCTATTGGTTCTTTTTTATAATTTCTGTATCTTTGTTAAATTTTTTATGTTCTTGTGTTGTTTTCCTGAGTTCATTGAACTGTCTATTGGTATTTTCTTGCAAGTCACAGAGTTTTGTTTTTTTATTTTTCCTTTCCCATAGGGTGAGTGGGCTCTCTGAAGATGGAGACAGGGAGAAGGAAAGTGAGAAATCACTTCTAAGGGGGACAGCCACACCAAATTCCCTCCCCTCCATTCTCCTGCTCCTGGTATTTTTGGACATGCATGCACATGCGCCTGAGTGATTCTCAGGCAGCTGGCTCTGGATTTCAAGCCAGTTGGCCATGTGGGAGTACTGTGCTTCAACCATGACACCACCTGCTGGAATTACTTGTCACTGAGTTTTTAATACATCATTTGAATTCCCTTTTAGACTTTTCAAGAATTTGATTTTCATTGGGCTTTATTACTAGGGGTTCATTGAGTTCCTTGGAAGCTGTCAACTTCCTTTATTTTAAAATATTTTGTTGTGGCCCTGTGTTGATATCTGCATACAATGGAGTTGTTGCCATTTCTGACATTTTTGAATAGCTACCTTAGTAGAATGTCTTTTCGTGAGGATGTGTGCTTTAGTATTGATTAGGTGGGATGTTTAGGTTTTGAGTGTGTGTAGTAATGTGTTCTCCAGGGGATTTCCTCTGTTGTATTCACTGTCAGTGGTATCTGTGAGCATTTCGAAGGCCCTTATAAGGGATAGGGTCACTTGTACAGAAAGAGCTTCCTGAGATAGTCTCCTAGAAATGGAGGTGGCCAACAATGTCTGGAAGAATCCTACTGGGTCTGATACACTATACACTCCAGCCATGGAGTAAGCCAGGTCTAGTTAAGCCAGGATTGTAGGGACAGAGTTTGAAGATTACCTTGGATCACATGTGTTGTGTTTTTGAGCTACTGTGAGAATCAGGTGAGGCTTTGGGGCTTTTGCATTATTTAACAGTTCCCTGAAGCAGCTTTCCTCCTGGTGCTGATCTGTCTATGTTTTGGACTGTACAATGCTCTAGCAATTACATTAATGAAATGGCATGGATCCATAGTAGTTTGGGTCCTGGGAGGCGTGGTTAGGGAAATTATGCTCTTAATGCAGTTTCATTTTTTTAGAGGTTTTTGCTATAGGGTGCATGTGCTCGCCAGACAGACAGAGAGAGACAGAGAGACAGAAAGCAAGAAATTACCCCCCGGGGGGATGGCAATGCAGCAATCCCTTCTTCTCCATTCTCCTCTCGGGATCTTGGGCACGCATGCACACATGCCCAGCGTGAGTTTTAAGCCACCGGGTCCGGGACGTGAACCGCGGTCGACCACATGGGAGTCCAGTGACATAGCCATTACGCTAACTGCTGGTCCTTGCACTTTCATTTTAACAAACAATACTTTAATAAAAAAATATAATCTTCTTTCTGGTAATTTCCTGTGAGTACCAGTATCTCAAGTCTTTCTCTGTCCATCCCTGTACCCATGAGTCTACATTTTGTGGACTGAATCACCTAGTCTCTTTTCTGTCTCATTTCTGATGGGTTTATTACATTTTATTTTTGGTTAGAAATCATTAAATGAGTCACTTGTTTGCAGCTGTTACCTTGATACTGACTTGTACTTGACATTTTATATTACTTTCTACTCACTGGCTTATATATATCTCTTAGAAAAGAGTAAAATGATGGAAATATTTTTTAAAATTTTGCCATATGAAGATAAACAGCACATATTAGTTTTGACATGAACAGAGAAATATCTCAAATGCACAAGGATTATCACAGAGTGGGACCAAACTCTTGCCTGTTTGGTTGTAACCTCCCCTGCACTAGCTGTTCTGGGGTAGGTAATTCCTGGAAATGACTCTCCTTATAGCTCCTTTCATCTCATTGTTCCTCAGGGTGTAGATCAGTGGATTGAGCAGTGGCGTTACCAGTGTGTACACCAATGAGATAAACCGATCTTGCTTGGGGTTGTAGCTGGAGCTGGGGCGCAGGTACATGAAGGCACAGCAGCCATACTGCAGCAGCACCACAGTGAGGTGGGAGGAGCAGGTGGAGAAGGCCCGGCTGCGGCCAGCTGCTGAGTGGATCTTGAGCAGAGCAGCCACTATGAATGCATAGGAGGTGGCAATGAAAAAGAAAGGCACAGCGATGGCTAATGTGGCTGCCACCAGCACTGACAGCTCATGGATGTGGCTGTTGGCACAAATGAGATGCATCACTGGTGGTACATCACAAAAGAAGTGCTCAATACCTTGAGCAGGGCAGAAAGTCAGAGAGAAGATGAAGACCACTAGTTGTAAGGACAAGAACAAGCCAACGATCACTGATGCCACAACCAAGCGGAAACAAAGAGTCAAAGTCATGATGAGAGGGTACTTCAGGGGGTGGCAAATGGCAACATAGCGATCATAGGCCATAATGGCCAAGAGTAAGCAATCAGCACTGCCAAGTCCAATGAAAAGAACCATCTGAATGGCACACCCCAGGAAGGATATGGTCTTGTTTGACTGTAGGGTGTTGGCCAGGATATGTGGCACCACCACTGCAGTGTAGCATATTTCTATGCCTGAGAGGCTGCCAAGGAAATAGTACATGGGCATGTGTAGACGGACTTCTGTTTTAATGGAAACCATAATGAGTACGTTCCCAGTGGTGATCAATGTATAAACCAGGCTGACCCCAATGAAGGTCAGAATACGAAATTCTGAGCAGGAAGGATAAGCCAGGAACATGAATTCCATCAATACTGAATGATTTCTCCAGTTCATTGAGCTGTTAACTCTTCTCTACTAGGAGTTACAAGAAGACAAAGAAGGAACATACTGAAGATACTTAAGTTTGCACACTGAGTCATGAATATAATTAATCAGAGTTGGAATTAGAAACATGATACATCAGGGTTAGCTCTCTTTTCTCCTTTTATTAAACAAATCTGTATAAATATCTACAGTTTAATTTTTCATTGTTTTGAATTGAGTTAATTTTTCCTTATTATTATTATTTTTCCAACATTTAATCACTATACCTCACTTATATTTTAAAGAGACTTTATCTAGCATGATATGCACCTCAGTCCAACCCAGTTGAGTTAAATTTTATAAAATACTTTTGGGGAAAAGAGGCAGAAGAAATGGGTGGAGCTTAAAACTACTTAAGTTAAAGTAGAATAAAAATTAAATTCGTTCACAGGATTCACAAGAAAGCATCAAGGAATTTATCAGTGCTGGGATCATAAATATGAGAGCAGAGAGCTGTTCCTTCATTCATCCATTCATTTATTCATTTATAGTTGTTCTGTATTCCTCTTGAGGTATTTAGCTTGAGATATATACAGGTAATACTCAAAAACTCATGAAACTACCAACTAGCATACAAAAAGATCTACATATCATTAATAGAGAAATCACACTGAAATATCACCTTTAGGATTAACACTACTAAAGAAAACAAGGGAAACTAGCAAGTGTTATGTAAAATGTGGAAAAATTATAATCCTAGTACACTTTGATGGGAATGTAAAAAGGTGTAATTGCTATGTACAACAGTAGGAAAACCTCTAAAAATTAAGAAAAGAATTATCAGATGATAAAGCTATCCCATTATGGGTATTTATTCAAAATAATCAAAAACAGGATCCTAAAGAGAGATTTGCACACTTATGTTCACTGCAGCCTAATTGCCAGGAGGTGGAAACAAACTAAATATCCATCAACAGATGAACTAATAAAGAAAATGTGGTGTATACATGCTGTGGAGTATTAGCCTTAAAAAAAGAAGAAATCTTATACATAATAACATAGATCAATACTGAGGAACTACACTAGGTGAAATTGCCCACACACAGAAAGACATATTGCATAATTCAACTTATACAACATATAAAGTAGTCAGACTCTAAAAAACTTAAACTAGGGAACAACAGATGGAGTAGCGGTTACATTGCTGGACTCTTACATGGCCAATTATGGGTTGAATCCCAGACCCCGTGACTTGAAACTCACACTGGGCACATATGCATGCGTGCCTAAGATTCTGGGAGGAGTATGAAGGACAAGGGATCGTGGTAGGGCCCTTACTCCTGGGGGGGGGGTGATTTCCCTTTCACTGTCTCTGTCTCATGCAGCCTAAGGCTAAAACCTCTCAGACAAAAGCAAATGAACAAAGAACCCTGAAAGCATAATGATGGTTTCCAAGGGGCAGAAGGGAAATGGAAGAAGGGAGTTGTTAAATGGGTATACAGTTTCAGTTTTGCAACATGAAAAAGGTCTGAAAATAACATTGTACAACAATGTTAAGATGGTAAATTTTATATTATGTGGTTCAACCCCACAGACAAAAAGAGAAGGTGTAGCATTGTACATCTAGTAGGGTTTCTATTCTGAAAAATATCTAGTGAATCATTATCAGAAGGCAATATTTATGTAGTATACATGAAAATATGTATAAGGATTAGCAGTAGAATTTAGAGACAAATGTACTAAGTGTTCAGACAATGAAGAAAGGAAACAGTTCCCATGGGTCAAGGGGCTGACCTAGGCCGAACGTGGTAACATCAGGGATGAGCCTTGGAAAACAAAATTCTTTCTATTCTCAATTTTTCTGGCCTTATCCAAACAGGAAAAGGATAAGACTTGAAGGAAACATTCTCCACTTTGTCTCAGGAGATATGAGAAAATTCTAAGGCTTTCAGAGATCTAAAAACTGGTGAGTTTGGGCATGAATGTGAAAGGCAACTATGTTCATGGGAAGACCTATCTAGTGAACTTATAAACCTCTTCATGAACAGACACAATTCACAAGGAGCACTCATTCTGTAATTATTCTCTTTTCCTCATCTGAACTTATTTTAATGTCACTCAGTATATTGCACAGATTACTATAACACATGGAAGAGGTGTACTGAAATCATCCTTGAAATTAATGATTTTAAAAATAATTCTAGCTGTGTATATTTGAGATTATAACATAATGTTATTAGATACACATATATAGTAAAATGGTTACTAATGGTGGAATAAATTAACATTTCTGTTATCTCACATAACATCTCATGTTAATAGCACAAAAGATGAAAACTAAATAATCAAATCAATAGTGCAGAAAAAGCATCCTATAAAATTTACTATAATTTTGATAAAAAAATTTTAATAAATTAGGTATTAAAGGAAAGTTTATCACCGTAATCAAGTTTCTCACCTATATATGAAAACCCCACAGCTTGGGTTGAGGAAGAAGGGGAGAGTATAGAGAAGGAAATCAGGAGAAATTAGAGAGGCATGATATTTGTGGGACACAGAAATGGTTTATTACCTGTTAATGACAAAACGTATAGTATTCTCAACTGGACTGGTCTGAGAAGTATTTCATGTTGGGTAAATTTTCTTTACAAGCCAAATGATGTATAGCAATCAAATGTTTAAAAAATAATAATAATATGAAAAAAAGAAAAGCTATTTGCTGAAGATGATATGTATAGTAATGTCTTTGTTTTGACTGATATGCATGATATTCATGCTGGAAAAAGAAATGTTATACAGTGTAGATATATATGATTAAATGTAATATAAAAAATCATTTAAAAAAAGAAAAGTCCACCGTTAACATTGTAATCAATTTGGAGAAACTTAAAATTTTCCTCCAGTTCTGTTAAAAGACAGGGATGCCTGTCATTATCACTTTTGTTTAATACATTATTAGAACTACTATCAAGAACAATTACATAAGAAAAAATAAATAGAAAGTATCCAAATTGAAAGAAAAGTAAAATTATTTCTATTTGCAGATGACATGATCCTATATGTAGAAATCTCCAATGACTTAACCAAAAAATGTTAGATCAAATAAATGAATTTAGTAAAATTCCAGATACAATAATCTGTGGCATATCTGTCCTCAAATAGTGATCTAGCTGGAAAAATTCCATTTATAATAATAACAAAACATAACAAATGAACTAATGAAAACCTTAGAAATAAATTTAACCAAGTTGATGAACATCCTGTATCCTCAAAATTATAAAGCACTAATGAAAGTAACTGAAGAATACATCAATGGAAAGATTCCATATTCATGGATCAGAATAATTATTGCTGTAAAAATGTCCGTACTATAATTCTATGCCTATAAAAATTCCAGTGTCATTCTTGACAAAAATAGACAAAACAATCTTAAAACTCATAAGGAAGTGTAAAAGACAATGAATAGCAAAACAATTGTGAGCAAAGAAAACCCCACAAAGTTGGAAGCATCATACTTCCTGATTTAATAATATATCACAAAGCTATAGAAATAAAAATAATATGATACAGACATGAAAGGAGATGCATAGAACAGTGGAATAAATCAGAGCACTCAGAGATAGAGTCAAACATATATGGAGCTAGAAACAGACTCCCTGACTTGGAAAGGCCTGAGGGCTTCCCTGGAAGACAGAGCTGCCCTCTGCTCCAGGATGGCCTCAGAGCCCAGCTGTGGCCAGACTGAGGGGAGCAGTGAAGAAGGAGACTTGCTCTGGCCAGCAGGTGGCGTGGTGATGAAGGTGGCTCAGCAAGTGCCCAGCCCTGGTTCTATCAACTGACCACAACCAAGACCCACTAGGACACAAGAAAAGCAGGGAGGAGCGATCACAGCTCGGGTCTGGAGAAAAGCCAGCAGTAGTGCAGGATCCAACCAGAGACTTTCTGCCCAGGGAATTCCTTTCTCCTCAGTGTGTATATTCTTCCCTGTGCGATGCTTGCCTCCAACCTGAGGTGAAAAAGATCTAATTTGGCTCTGTATCCTGTCTCTAACTGTGGATGGCTACACAGTTCCAACTCAGCTTCCTTAACTTTTTGTTGGCAAAGGTCATCCAACTTTGACTTAGACAAGAAGCCATTTTAAATATGAGTAGAGGAGAGATTTTGTCACAGAATGACCAGAAACCACTACAGAAAGCACAAGAAATATTAGAAACCAAGAAAATATCTCTCCCCTCAGTGAAAAGAACAATCCTTCATCATCCACAGACAGTACACTGGAACTCGTGGAAATGTCTGATAGAGAATTTAGAATATTCATGACAAAACTAAACGAGATGCAAGAGCTTAGAGACAATGAACTCCAGAAGATGTAGGAGAGAAGAGACAACAAGTTCAGGAGGTGAGGGAGTTTTTGTACAATATGAAAGAGGAAATACACACCATAAAAAAGAATCAAATAGGGAACCAGCAGTTAGCGTAATGGCTATGTCACTGGACTCCCATGTAGTCGACCGCGGTTCACGTCCTGGACCCGGTGGCTTAAAACTTACGTCGGGCACGTGTGCATGTGTGCCCAAGATCCTGAGAGGAGAATGGAGGAGAAGGGATTGCAGCGTGACCATCCCCCTTGGGGGGTGATTTCTTGCTTTCTGTCTCTATGTCTCTCCCTGTCTGTCTGGTGAGTGCACGTGCCCTGTAGCGAAAATCTCTCCAAAAAAAAAAAGAATCAAGTAGAGCTATTAGAGATGAAGGCTGCAATACAGGAAATAAAAACCTCTCTTGAAAGTATTAAAAGCAGATTAGTTCAGGCTGAAGATCAAATCTCAGTTGTAGAAGGCAAAATCTATGATCTAGAAAAAACAACCAAAAAACTGAGAAAATAACCAAAACAAATGAGAATACTATATGAGAAATACTAGATACCATTAAGCACCCAAACATTGGATAATAGGTATCTCAGAAGGTGAAGAAACAAATAAAGGCATTGATAATCTATTCCATGAAATACTGGAAGAAAAATTTCCAAATCT